TGTATTTGTTGATTGACTGTATATCATCTTCTGAAGTGTCTCTTCAGGTCCTTGGCCCATTTATTGATTGGGTTATTTGGGTTTTGTTTTTGTTTTTGTTTGTTTTGTTTTGTTTTTTTTTTTGGTGTTTAGCTCTTTTAGTTCTTTATATACCAATATGTGAAGGGTAAAGATTTGCTCCCAGGATGTAGGCTCTCTATTCACCTCACAGATTTGTTTCTTTTGCTGAGAAGAAACTTTTAAGTTTGAGTCCACCCCATTTATTGATTCTTGATTTTACTTCTTATGCCACAGGAGTTTTATTAAGGAAGTGACATTCCTCAAAGAAATAGAAAAAGCAATCATGAAATTCATCTGGAAAAATAAGAGACCCAGAATAGCTAAAGCAATCCTTAGCAGGAAGAGTGAAGCAGATAGCATCACTATACCAGACCTTAAACTATACTACAGAGCAACAGTAACAAAAACAGCATGGTATTGGCACTAAAACACACTGCTAGACCAATAGTACCAAATAGAGGACACAAAGACTAACCCACAAAACTACAATTATCTTATACTAGACAAAGGTGCCAAGAACATGCGTTAGAGAAAAGACAGGCTCTTCAACAAATGGTGCTAGGAAAACTGGAAAGCCATATGCAACAAAATGATATTAAACCCCTATCTCTCACCAAGCACAAATGTAAACTCAAAATGATCAAGGACTTAGGAATTAAGTAGGCCCTAATCTCCATGATGTGGGATTAAGCCCCAACTTCCTTAAAGAGTCAAGTTAAATTTTACAGTATTTATCATTGAAAAATTACCAAGCAAGAAAAAAGCAATATAATATAATCTACAATGAATACAAGAATAAATCAAGAAAAAACTGACACCATGAAGAATTAGCAGATATGTGCAGTAAAATAGCTATACTTGTATTCCATATATTAAAGAAATCACAGCAAAGACTGAACTTGTTGTAGAAACATGGAATGTAAGAACCAAATCAAACTTCTACAGATAAAAAATACAATGTCTGAAATGAAAAATCACAGGAAAGCATAGCCAACTGATTTCCTATAAGAAGTAAGGCAAACTAGGAGCTAATGGACCAACATTCTTTTTAAAGTACAAAAAGAAGGGAAAAACAAAAACAAAAACCGAACACCCTGATAAAACTATAAGGAGAAGTGGATCCATTCAAAATTACAATCATGTACTACCACAAAAATAGTGTCCTAAATTAAAGTTATATTCTATGTATATATGTTAAAATATATTCCATTGCCATGTATCTAAAAAAGAACAGATAAAAAATAAAAATATATAAATAATAAAATTACAAAGAATTCAGTACCCTTCTCTTAATGACTGTTAGAGCAAACAGACAGAAAACCAGTATGTATAAAGAAGACCTGAACAACACTACTGATCAACTTGATATAATATAACATACACCATATGGGAGATGACACTAAACAATTACTTATGAGAAAATAAAATAATAATAAAAAGTATTAAATAAAAACCAACAGTCAAAGGATTATTATATTTAATAACCACACAAAACTTTTAAACCTGTTAAATAAGTGAAATATTTTCATCAAAATACAAATGACAAACTGCTATAAAATATATGTAAAATTTTATTTCTAAAACATAAGTTCCTTCAAATCACCAAAAAAGGGGGGGGGCACATGATCAACAGAAAAATGGTGTAAGGTCAAAAACCTACAATTCATGTAAGAAAAAAATACAAATAACCAACAGGCATGGATGTTTAACCTCACTAAAAAACTATAAAACAATGAAATTTGTTTCACCAGGGGGATTATCAAAAACAAGAAAAGACTTTTTTACACCTTTATTTATTTATTTATTTTTATGTGATGCTGAGGATCGAACCCAGTACCCTACACATGCCAGGCAAGCACTCTACCACTGAGCTACAGCCCCAGACCAAGAAAAGATTTTTAATAACTAGTATTGATAAAAATGTAAAATTCGTAGCAAATGGTTTGGAGACAAACAGTAAGAAATGTCCATTAATATCTTTAATCCTTGCATCCTTTAATTTTATTCCTAGAACTTATTCTACAAAGAAAGATACTTGGAAAGCATGTAGATGTGACATTACTTACAAAGAAATGTCTTGACAGGTGCAATCAAATTAAAATGAGGTCATTAGGGTTGACACTAATTCAATATGACTGGTGATCTCATAAATAAGAAGATATAGAGACAAAAAGAGAAAAATATGTAATAGAATAGGCAGAGGCCAGAGTGATAAACCTACAAGCCAAGAAACCTCAAGGATTGCCAGCAACTACCAGAAGTTAAGATAAGTATCAGAAAGATTCTCAGTTCCTCCTGAACAAACCAGCCCTGCCAAAACCTTGATTTTGGATTTCTAGTCTCCAGAATCATGAGACACTTTAGTTTCTGTTATTTCAACCAGCTATTTTATAGTACTTTTTACAGGACTTTGTAGTACTTTGTTACAGAAGCCCCAGGAAATTATTACCCAACAGTAGAGATTAATAAACTATGTACATTCACATAGTGTAATAGAGCACACAATGTAATAATAAATAGGATGCAGTCGATATATATGGGCATGGAAATATACAAAGTGAAAAAGTTAAGTTATAGAACAAAATGTATTATCCCACTTTTTCTGGTGAATTAAAGAGAACACCCCTCTCTCTCTTGAACTGTAATTGAAATTATCATTTTCCAGCACTGACCAAATTAAATATGGGCTAGACTTACTTCCTTCTGCAATCCTGACCTTGAAACCTTCAAAAATATAATTCCATTCCCATGGCCTAAATAATCAACACTCTGTAAAGAATTCAAAATCCCTAAACCTATATTTCTTAGGATGTAGCCATTTCCACTAAGAAGTTCTGTTGTCATCTGGAATTCACACAGCCCACTGAATATTGCCAATTTTTCTTTACAAAACATCCAATACCAACTAGATTCCATCTACTGTGTACTTGGAAAATTGGTAATGTGAATACACTGGTTATTCAGATACCATATCTGGACTAAGTGGTAAGAAACACTGTGAGCAACTGGTGGTTTCTGCCAGGGACACCCAGACCGCAATATAATCCTTTATTTGCCCCAGATGCTGCTATAATTCAGGTTCCTTACCCACATCAGTTATGTTAATATAACAAATAAGAAAAGTAGCTAGTACATTTTAAAACATTCGACTGTTTATATTATGAATAACAATTTCGATTTTTCCCATCTCTAAAAACTTGCTTTTCTTGAATCAAAAAACTTAGTGGTGGAACTCATGCAGGGGTACATGCCTGTAATCCCAATGACTTGGGAGGATGAGGGAGGAGGATTGTAATTTCAAGGCCAGCCTCAGCAAATCAGTAAGGATCTTAGCAACTTAGTGAGACCCTGTCTCAAAATAAAAAACAAACAGGACTGGGGATATAGTTCAGTTGTAAAGTGTCCATGGGTTAAATCCCCAGTACCCACCTCCTAAAAAACAAACCAACTAACCTCAAATCAAGAAACTTGGCAGTTCTTACAACCTAGGGAATAAAGCTCAATCCTTAAAACTGAAGTTCAAAGTCTTCTAAAATCTGGCCTCAAGTTACTCTGCAGATTTATAGTCCACTATCTCCCCAAGGAAATATCTTCAATCTTAGAACTCATTCAGTTTATTTGGTATCTCCAAACACTTCATGTACATTTTCTATTTCAAATATTTGCTTACACATTTCCCTATACCTGAACTGAGTTGTTTCCTTCTCCTGATATAAATTCTACAACACTATTTAAGGTCCTCATATTCAAATCCCTCAATGATCTGTCAAATATCACAATGCTGTATCTACCTCTCCTCTCAATATTCTAATCTCTAATAATCACTAGTTTGTAGTAAGCATCTTTTTGTGATGATAATCTTTGTCTTTTCTAGCTATACAGTAATCAAGGGAAAGATAAACCCTGAATTATTCTTTTTAATTATTGGTACTCTATGATATTGGGAAGGTGTTGCTTATCAGTTAAGTACTCAATACTTTCTGGTATTTCACTGATAAAAATAAATCATTTGGGTTTCTGACTAGCTTTATGAATTACATTCAAATCAAACTGTTCCTTTACCAATATGGAAATTTCAAAGATATTTAGGTAGCATCATACTTTTTATGGTATCAAAAGCAATTCACTGTACTCAGGAGTATTTAAAGTTTTTATTTTGAAACCACAGTTATTTAAATAAGGAACTTAATACCCATTAGTCTTAGCTTTTGCAAATCTAAGACAAAAGTTTAACTTTATAAGAAACCTGGGAAACATTAATTGTTCTAAAGTTAATGTATATTTGGTTTGTGATATTTCTAATTTCTTCATATCAGGAATTTAAGATGCTATTAAATTCTATTTCCCTTTTGCTTCAATCAGGCAGGTCTTTAATGAGTACCGCTTTATAGTTTTATAGTGACAGATGTCCACAGTAAATTTTCAGATCAAGTTAAAAAAAAAATCCCCATGGCAAAGGAACCCAAGAGGCAAGGATAAAAATTAAACCAATACTTGAAATAATTAAAATATAAATTAACCAAATAATCTTTCATTTGATCCTATTTTCTAAAGGGGGCTCTTCGAGATTTACCTCTTCAACATTTCTCTACAATTCAATGTTTCATCTTTTAAAACAGATCTCAACTTAACTACAACTCAATTCAACAGACAACTACAGAGTGAAATTGGTGTTTTCTAATTAATTTCAGTCTTTCATATTGCTACCATGATGGTGTAAACCTCTACTACTTCTGACAATGACAGATGAAATAAATAAAAATGAGATATATTTCTGATACACTGTATTTATGAATAATTAAATGTCAACCTTCTAATTACTACATAATACTAAACATAACTAGATATTTCATAATCAAAAAAGAATTACATTTTATAGCTTAACCACGTGTATTTATTACTGTGAACAAGAATGTATGAACTTTTTTGCCTCCAGAATCTTATGTCCTGCCGTTTAAACCTGAAGACAGGAAACTGCTGGCACTGAAGATGTGAAGGGGCCAGAGCCCTTTCCTTCAGGATAGGGAGCAGCACTGCATGCTGGTTCCCACTAAGAAAAGGAGGGTCAGATTCTTTATAGTAAAAAAGAACTGTATTGATAATGATGAGTTCTTACCTATGGGATCAAAGCTATAATTCCTAGACAGAATTTATAACAAAGCACCGCTCTATCTACTCTTTCAAAATTTATATTTTTCTAGTGAAAATGAGAACAAGCTATTATCACTCTTCCATAAAAATAATTTTTTAAAAAATTATGAAATATGGACATAAGTGAACCAAGCATGTGTTTCATTTGAAAATCTTAGCAGTTTTTATACAGACTTTTAAAAATTATGCTTTAGAAGACTAAAAAATTGGGCTGGAATTGTGGTTCAGCAGTAGAGCACTCACCTAGGACAGGCAGGATCCGGGTTCGATTCTGAGTACTACATAAAAAAAATAAATAAAGGCATTGAGTTGTGTCCATCTACAAAAAAAGATTCATATTCTCTCTCTCTCAAAAAAAAAAAAAAAAAAAAAAGACTAAAAAACTAATACGCAAAGTAGAAGTTGCTCAGCAGCCCTGTAAGTAAAACCAACTCTTTGGTATTTCAGTCAATATTTAAGAAGTTCAGATTCTAAGCACTACGGGGAATCTGTAAAGTCCTGGACAAATGTGCTTTCTATTTCTAAGAGACTTCATTTTATTTCTAGATTGACAATTTGACATTATTCATAAGATACTATTTTTACATTAAATATAACTTTTAAAAAAGATATATTTTTAAGGAAAATCTCTAATATCCAAAACAGAAAGAGAAATAGATGACCAAAAAAAGACAAAACTGGGGTGTGTGTATGTAATTCAAAGATTTAGAAACTTCCCAAAGATACTTAAGCTATTTGACTCTTAATTTATACTCTATATTAACTAACTTTAAATAAAATTGTTTGACATGATCTTCCTAAGTCAGAGCAAATGTAATACAGAATTCATATACTCTAAAATCTCTGCCAGTAACAGGGAATTTAAACTGAGCACTAACCAGCATTAATAACAACTTTCTTTCATATGCTTCTCCAAACTCCCAAAGTACTTTAGGCACTCTTAAAATATTTTACGTAGTTATTGCATTATTCTTTGAAATCCTTGACTAAGCCCATTTTACAATCTGAGATACCAAGGTTCATAATGGTTAATAAATTTGCCTATATTGTTACAGAGCTTAGAATTTACCAGAAAAGGATTTATAATCTAACCCTATTAAGACTCATCTAAATCTCTTCCTGTGCTCACAGTCTACCCTGAATTATACACATTATCATGCTCAGGTTTTTCCTGTACTAGACAAGAGAACCTTTTCATTTCTGTATATTACAAACTCCATGAATTTTAACCTTTTTTCTCCTTCCAAATTACTCAAGGTAAAATACATTCCCAGTCCTAACTTCCCATCAGTAGTTTCTTAATTCAGGCCAACAAACATTAAAATAAAGATTGCTCTTGAGTACAACTTTCCCTCTATACCTATTTTAAAACTACTATCTAAAAGATATGTGATTTAAACAAAAACAAGTAGTTAGTAGGCCACAGAGGGAGAGTTGAAGGTTTTATTTTTCCCACTCCTCAATTTCTTACTTATTCAGCACTGCATACACTAAAGTCCACCTGACAAAAAGGCACATACTCATCATAAAATATAAATACCATACTACACAAAAGTCAACAGAACTAATTCCAAGACCTATGAATCTTGTTTATCATTTTTTTACATTGTTCTCCTAAGAAAACACTACTAGATAACGAATGGCATCAGAATTATTGACTTTATGTAAAAGTTCATAACAAATTATATAAATAAAACCTCAATTTCTACAAAACTTATTTTTAAAAACTATAGCAAAACAACAGATTTACTTATAAATCACCTCTTCTTGGGGGCGTGGTAGTGCATGCCTGTAATCCCAGCAGCTCAGGAGGCTGAGGCAGTAGAATCAGGAGTTCAAACCCAGCCTCAGCAAAAGCCAGGGTTAAGCAACTCAGTCTCTAAATAAAATACAAAATAGGGTAGGGATGTGGCTCAGGGTTGAGTGCCCCTGAGTTTAATCCAGGGTACCTCCCACCAAAAAATTAAATAAATAAATCACCTCATCCATGAAACCAATCACCAATACAGAGTATCACAAAATTAAGGCCCCTTTCCAGCTAATGAGATACAAATGCTGCTGAATATTTCTTCTTCTGGTACTTACAATGCCTGCCTTTATTGCAATCCCCATCCCTTACCCTTTATACTTAGGTAGGACTAAGTTCTACTACAAATCTTTTCAATTGCCTTTGAATTTCCATCTAAAATGCTTTGATTCAGGCCCCAGACATATTTAATGAGGACTTTTATATACACTCATCTGACCTTTTTTTCCATTCTCACAATCCTCAATCCACCTTTTAAATTGCCTCCTCTTTCCTCCACAAAGCATTCTAAAACTTGAATCTGATCTGCAATTCCCTAGTGAAATGCTTTCTCAATTTTATCTCCTTCTTATAACTATGAAGTATACCTTAATATCTTAAGAAGTCAAGAGAAATTCTGTACAAAAATAATCTGTTGTTACTTAATTTAACTTAGCTCACAAAATATAAAGATTGAAAGAAACCCCACAATTTCCAATGTTAATTTTTTCAACACAATATCCAAAGTTTCCAATGTGACATTTTTAGGATTACCCTATCAGAACAGTACACTTTAGTTCTGAAACTGATTTTACATTAAAATCTTCTGTCAAGCTTGCTAAAAACAAATTCCCAAGCTCCATTTCAGACTCAGTGACTTTGAATATCACCTAGGAATTGAAACTAGCATTTTTTAATGATCTCCAATAATTCTGATGCGTATCTATATTTGAGAACCCAAACAGAAACTCCTTACTTCACAACAAACTATTAGTAGACATAGTTACTTCCACAATGTTTTATACCTCTGATCAACCTAAGGAGTACCTATTCATCTTAAATATTCAGATAATGCCCATTCTAAAAAACTTACTCATCTCCTCTCACACCATCTCTCCTTTGATCCTCTAAACCTTTACAAAAAGTTTGCATATATTCATACACAGTCCTTCTAACCAATAAAATCACGCCATGACATAGAATCTCTATTTCACAGGTAAGAAAACTCAATCTACTACAGGAAGGTTAAGAAATATGTTTAAACTGATCCAGCATTTGAACCCACATTTATTGACTACAAAGCGATAGTGTTTTCCATAGTGACATGCAACCTCTTATAGATCACTCAGAAGTACTGACTCATTCTTCAGTTTACATCTTTGTTTCCCTTTTTAGACATAACTATGCTTCCCTGAAGACAGGTGTAAATCCTGAGTTTGACCTCAACATTTAGTTACTTGGTATGTTCTGTTGAATGAACAAGAAAAAGAAGCTCCTCAAAAGCCAGTACTATACTATTTAGGTTTCATTTATCGGATTCTTAGAACAAGCTCTGAATGTATTTCTTGCAAACACATTTGGCCTGACCTGCAAATCTGCTGCTGGATTTATAATAAGACAGTGTATTTTGGCATTGTTTCAAACTATGAAAAACTACATGGAGAGGGAAAAAAGATCATTCCAAAAAATTAAAATATCTTTCTTACATTACCCTCTATCAAAATGAGGACTTCAAATTTTAATCTTCACAACAATTTCATCCCACAAGAGCAGACAGCTATAACAGTGTGGTTTTAAATGACTGAAATTTAAAAAGTAAAATTGATTAAGAATAGATGACTTAATGAAATTAAGCACCAAATAGTGACACTCTTTTGGACAACCTACTTACGCTAACCAGTAAGCAATGCTTTTTCTCTATTAATATTCTCCCACATCTGTCATTTTTTTGAAACTAGAAATAAATACTACAGGTAAACACAAAGTAATTAGTATACTTGCTTATAAACGTAATGTCCTTCCTGCCTTGTTAATGTATCTGGTATGTAACACATAGCACAACTACTTCCTTTTTGATACAGACTACATAACAAATGTAGTAATCAGCAAAACCAGTATTTTTTTCTTTTTTCCACTGGCAGATAACTAAAGAAATGGTTATTCCCTTAACACATCTTTTTCATTTGGAAATAAAAAAGAAAAACTATTATGAAACAAAATCATATAATGGGAAGTACAAAGGGACTAGGCATCAGGAGTTCTGCTGGTTCTCTAACTTCTATCTTACTAAACTCTTGTGTGACTTGGGAGTCACTGGCTGCATTTTCTCATTTGTTTTAAAAAGTCGTTAGGTGAGGAGGGATCTGATTATCTTTGAAGTTGTTTCCCAAAATACTGATTTTGAGACACTCCTCTTGTTGCATTTTTTCTAATCAGTTAACTGTGTTCTTCAAAGTCTAAATTCTTAAATAACAAACACATCTGAAATTGAATGTAAGTATTCAGTCTCCAACTGTTTGGTACAAGACACACAGAGTAAACTTCTATGAAGTTAACAATCTGATAACTTTCCAGAAATTGTCCCAATCTTCAATTCTTGAACAAGCAGGTGTCCTCTGACATTTTTAATAATATTAATAAGTTATAAAACGGTACTGGTCTGCTGAAACTTCACTAAGTGTTCCCTAGGTTCGAGTGGCACATACTTTGCAGGTAAGAGCAAGCAAAAAAGGGAGAGAGCCTCGCAGCATTTCAACAACCCACAGTCACCTCGGTAAGATCCCGACAAGGCCTACACCACGAAGCTGAACCTCCCCACCCCCAGAAGTGCCAGCAGCCAATGTAATGAATGCTTCCGTCAACAACACACATTCCCATTCCCCTTCCCACAGAACTGCTCACTCCCAACCGGCCATCTGGGGTTGGAATCAGCCGCACTACACCAACCTAAGAATCATTCTGGGTCCCAAAGGCCGAAAACTACTAGATTGCGGTTTCCCTGCGCATGGCTGCGGGGAGAGCAACACCCCCTCCCAACAATGATTAAAAAAAAAAAAAGAAAAGAAAAGAATCAGTGAAGAGAGTAGAAACCAGGCCTAGGCGTCATTGCTGGAGAAAGAAATCCTGTTTCTCTCTCTGCAACGGGGAACAGTAGCATTATCTGCCCTTGCACTGATCCAAGAATGTCCAGGAACCTGCACATCAATTCATCCCCTCCTAGAATCCTAAAGGGAGATTAAAAACCCAATCTGCTTCATTCCCCAATCTATGCATTCCTTAAAGCTCTGGCATTGTTAAAGGTACCCTCAGTAGGAGGTGAAGCTAGGGCTAGAACATGGGTTCGGTTAAAAAATTAAGCTGCTCATGCAAGAAGAAAATCCCTTGTGGTCTGAGAGTAAAGTTTGAACCAACAGCAAGGGCGCGGACCCGAGCCGGGCCAAGCTGGGCTCCAGGGCAGGCCTGCGGAGGTTGACACTCCCTTGTTCCTCAGCAGCTCTGGAGGCGGCGTCCGGCCGCTCCGATCCGAACCCAAGGAGCAGGACAAGGGCGCCGCCGCGGGGCTCGGGCCGGCGGAGGCCTGGTAGCCGCGGGACCTTCCCTACACTGCTCCCGCCTCCTTCCTTATTCCCACTTCCCGGTCCCCCAGCCCAGGCCCAAAAGGTAACGTCCGGGTAGCGACGGGGGTCTCGGCCACTGACCACACATTTCTTGCCGAGGAAAGTGAAGAGGGACTCATTCTCCTGCGGGGTGAGCAGCAAAGACCCCACGTTGGTGACCTTCCGCGGGGGCGGCGGCTGCTGGCCGGAGCTCATGGTTTCGCCGGCGGGGCTGGGAGTCCAGGGCCGTCTCTTGGGCGAGCTCGTTTCCCCTCTCGGTGACAGGGGCGGGCAGAGGGATTCAGATGAGCAGCATCCCGAAGCTCCCGCGGAGCAGGGAGGAGGACAAGAGAAGGGGGAAGCTGACGGCAGGCCGCCTTCGGGCCGTACTCAGAAAGGGAAGCTCCCAGCTCCCGCCCGGCTAGGCTAGGGCCGGATGGTCGTTGTCCTCGCACTCCGGCGACTGCGCTAAAATCCCAACTCCTCCTCCAACGCTCCCGCGGCGGCGGCAGCGGCGGCGGCCGCACAATCCAACATGGCAGCGGGGGCGGACGAGACCACGGGACGCAAGACGCGGGGGAGCGCGCCGGAAACGCGCGGCTGCGGCTGCGGCCTGGAGCCTGAGAGTAACCTCTCGGCCGGCTGCGGGCCTTGCTGGCCGGCCTGAAACCCCGCCCTCTTCCGGCCCGGCGCGGGCCGCGCGGGTCGCTCAGGGTCTGCGGTCCCGGGTGGGGTCCTCGACCTCCGGCTTCTCTGCTCACTGTTCGGGAACCCGAGCCCAGCCGCTACTACTTGGAGAGACGACGTGGGCTGGCTACTACGGCGTAGCAGTCTGCCTCCCTTCTGCGGGCGCACACCTTGGCGTAGTAGCGGGGAGCAGCAGGTCCCCCTCCCAAGAATAGCAGTTTCTCAGGGGGGCGGAAGAAGGGCGCTCAGGCCGCGGGTCCTGAAGGGCTGGAACCTGGAGACGAAGATTGGAAAGAGCTCCCGGTGCTGCTGGCTCCTGGTGACGGTCAGAGCCGCAGGTGCCTGGCGTCTCTCAAACTTTGTCCAAACTTCGACCTGGACAATGAAGGAACAAACAGGCCTCTCCCAGGACTGTGGAAGAGATTTTTATGGATGTCACAAAAAAACGCACTTGAGAAGAGACGTTGTCGCCCTGCCGGTATGCCGTGGCACGTGGGATAAGTGTATTTGCAACATTTAAACGCAGATTCTTGTATGGGCGCTGAACACGTTTGTTTTTCCCTACCTCCATCAGTTGGAAAATATTCCCTTCCCCCACCTTTTCCTCTATCTTAAACCCCGAACGCTTTGTTTTTTTATGAGCTAAATTAATGTGCCTATTTGGGGATGTCATCCAGAAAAATATCTTCTCTGCTTTACTCCCTAGAAGTAAATCTCAAAAAACTTTTTAAAAACTTGTATGCAGAATACAACAATTACTAATTGGGCATTATGTAAAATTGTGGGTGTGTAACCAACGTGATTCTGCAATCTGCATTTGGGGTAAAATTGGGAGTTCATAATCCACTTCAATCTAATGTATGAAATATGATATGTCAAGAGCTTTGTAATGTTGTGAACAACCAATAAAAAAAAAAGAAAGAATAAAAAAAAACTTGTATGTTTCAGAGTATTAAAAGTTAACCCTCTTTGTTGGGAAAGTCAAATACTAGGCCCTTGTAAAATGAAATTTTGGGATATGGAAATAATAAAATGGGCTGTTGTGAATTATAAAACATGTATGACTTATCTCTGTATTAAGCATATTGGAGTTTATTGTATGAATTTTACACATCACTTGCTAATTACAAAGTTTTAATAAAGTTGTATTGAACTTAAGACGTCTATCCAGTGATGATTAAGCTTTCAACTTTTCAACTCTCTTCAACTTTTTCAACTATCTGATGTTAATATCTCTAACAGCTCCCATTAGAAATCTCTAATGTACTAAACAGTTATAATAAATCATTCTCAATTCACTTTGAAAACAGAAAAATTTTAAAGCTTCCCTTTATGAAATTGAGCTGGAAAAAAAATTTTCAAAGGAAAATGAAAGCATATAACCTTGTAAGTTCTCACATTATATATGGATATTTCAAAATTAAATTTGTTTAATGTGAGGTGAAAAGTGAGCAAAAAAAAGTTATTTATAAAATATAAAATTGGGTTTAGGAAGGTAGTAAAAATGTAAACCTGGGGTTGCCTCTGAATAATAGACTAGTAATAGAAACCCAAAAAATAAATCGGTTTGTCATTTATTAAAAATGCACCCCTTCCAAGTTGAAAGCACAGTGACAACAGAAAGCATTACACATTCTTGATAAATGATAGAAATTAGGACCCTCTTTTTCTTTTTTGGGGGGGGCAGGATGTGTACTGGGGATTGAACTCAGGAGCACTATACCACTGAGCCATATCCCCACCCCTATTTTTTTGTATTTTATTTAGAGATAGGGTCTCACTAAGTTGCCCAGTGCCTCACTGTTGCTGAGGCTGACTTTGAGCTTAAATCTTCCTGCCTCAGCCTCCTGAGCCCTCTTTTCAAACCTGTCAACAACTATACACCAAGAGCATAGGCTTCAGATAGGCCCAGATTGAAGTTCCTTATTCCTCTTAGAACCTTTTGGACTTGAGAAACGTTTCTTTTCTGGCTCAGTTTCTTTATCTGTAAAATGAAAATAATTTCTGTTTTATAAAGGTATAGTATAAATAGGGATAGTTATTCATACTTCAGAGTTGTAAAATAAGATGGCCATAATGTACCTGGTACATAGTGGCTACTGAAGTTATTGTTGTCTGTTATTTAACATCCTTGCCTATGGTCTGTTCAGCTTTCTCTTAGGTAAAGATCAAGAGTTGAGTGAATTACATATTTTCAACTCTGCTCTATCTAAGCCTTATTATCCAAAAACTGTCCTCAAATTTAAAACTACATAATTCTTGAAATATATGTTGGTGAATTTGGAGCATAATCTCTCAGTAAAATTTCTAATTAGGCTATATGTTGTGAAAACTCAGCTATGTGTATATCCCCATATGTCAAAATAGCAAAGCATTTTTAATATTGTAAATCTAGAAATGGAATCCTATTATTCTGTAATCAATAAAAATTCAGGGGCTGGAAATGCAATTAAGTGCAAGAGCTTGTGCTTAGAATGTGTGAAGTCCTGGGTTCAATCCCAGCACAAGAAAAAAGAAAAACCTAGCAATTTTTTTTCCTGTTCTTTTTTAAAATTTGTTCTTTCTAGATACATAAGACAGTAGAGTATATTTTGATGTAAAATTCATACTTGCAGAGTAACTTACTAAATCTCATTCTTGTGGTTGTACATGATGTGGAGTTTTACTGTGGTGTATTCATATACAAACTTGGAAAAGTTGTGTCCAACTCATTCCCTCTCTCTTCTCTTCATTATCCATTATCAACTGAACTTATGTCCTTCCCCTTCCCACCCCTTGTGTGTTAGCATCCACATATCAGAGAACATTCGACCTTTGGGATTGGCTTATTTCACTTAGCAAGGGTACTCAATCTTTTTTTTAATTGGTTCTTTTTAATTTAACATGACAGCAAAATCTACTTTTATAAAATTAAACAAGCATGGGATATGTCTTATTAGGAATATATCTTATTAGGACCCATTCTTGTGAGTGTACACAATGGTGGGATTCACTTAGATATTTTCATATTTGTACATAGGAGAATTATGTTAGATTTATTCTACCATCTTAATTTCTATTTCTGCTCCTTCCTTTCATTCTCTTTTGACTAACCTACTGAACTTTCACTTCTTCCTTCCCCACCCCCTTTATTGTGGTTTAGTTTCCACATATCAGCAAAAACATTCAACTTTGTTTTGGGGGGATTGGTTTATTTCACTCAGCATGATAGTCTCCAGATCCATCCATTTACTGGCAAGTGTCATTCTTCTTTATGACTGAGTAATATTCCATTGTATGTATATACCTCCATTTCATTATCCATTTGTCTTTTGATGAGCATCAAGGTTGGTTCTATGACTTATCTATTGTGAATTGTGCTGCTATAAACATTAATGAGGCTGTGTCACTGTAGTATGCAGATTTTTAAATCCTTTGGCTATATGCCAAGGAGTGGAACACTGGGTCAAATGGTGGTTCCATTCTAGGAATCAATCTAACAAAAGAGGTGAAAGACCTCTGCAATGAAAACTACACAATCCTAAAGAAAGAATTTGAAGAAGACCTTAGAAGATGGAAAAATCTCTCATGTTCTTGGATAGGAAAAATCAATATTGTCAAAATGGTCATACTACCAAAAGCACTATACAGATGTAATGCAATTCCTACTAAAATTACAATGTTGTTCTTCATAGAAGTAGAAAAAGCAGTCATGAAATTTGTTTGGTAAAATAAGAGACCCCCAAATAGCCAAAGCAATCCTTAGAAAAGTGAAGCAGGAGGCATCCTAATGTCAGACTTTGATTATACTACAGGGCTGTAGTAACAAAAACAGCATGGTATTGGTACAAAAACAGGCATGAAGACCAATGGAACAGAAGAGAAGACAGAGACAAACCGACATTAATAGCAGTTATCTCATGGTGGGCAAAGGTACCATAGACATACATTGGAGAAAAGATAGCCTCTTCAACAAATGGTGCTGGGAAAACTGGAAATCTATACATACATAATAGAATGAAATTGACCCCTCTTTACCCTGTACAAAAGTCATCTCTAAATAGATCAAAGACCTCAGGAGTAGACCAAAACCCTGCACATACTAGAAGAAAATGTAGGTTTAACATATTGGCACAGGAATTGACTTTCTGAACAAGACTCCTAAAGCACAAGAAATAAATAAAAAATTAATAAATGGAATGGCATCAAACTAAAAAGCTTCACGGCAAAAGAAACAAACAAGAACATGGAGAGAGCCTATACAATGGGAGAAAATCTTTGCCATCTGCACCTCAGAGTGTTAATTTCTAGGACATACAAAAAACTCAAAAAGTCTAACACCAAAAATCCAAATAACCCAATTAATAAAAGGGCAAATGAACTAAACAGACACTTCATAGAAGAAATACAAATGGTCAACAAATATATGAAAAAATGTTCAAAATCTCTAGTAATTATTAGAGAAATTCAAATTAAACTACACTGAGATTTCATCCCACTCCAGTCAGAATCGTAATTATCAAGAATACAAGTAGCAACAAATGTTGGCAAGGATGTGGAGAAAAGTGAATGCTCATACATTGTTGGCGGATTGCAAATTGGTGCAACCCCTCTGGAGAGTAATTTTTCTGTTAGAAATGCCACCTTTCTGAACTTCTAGATCACCAAACTATTTTGAAAGTTAGAGAGATGTGGAAGAGAGCAGGGGTGGGGGTGCTATGAGATGGGAGGTGAAGGAAATAGGTGTACATTGGAAGACTCTATCCCATGCTCAGAACTATTGAATTCCAGTCATTTTACAACCTTTTATTAGCCTAGACTATTTATTGTTGGAATTGTACACTTTCTTTCAAAAAGTTTTAAGTTTTGTCCAAGTGCACTTTTCTATTTGCCCTT